CACCTTTCCATTCAATCACAGAAGGTGCAACCTGCCCATTTACTTCTCCCTCCTCACGACTCAGACACACCTTCCAGGTGAAGTGGCATTTTACTTGCACTTCACTCAATCTAGTATACCATACTCGCTGTTCACAATGTGGTCCCCTCTACCCTGGGGAGATGAACGTATACTGGTTAACGGCTTTGAGGAGCACCTAGTGGATCAGTGGTTAGTATTGCTGCCTCACAGTGCCTCACAAGGGTTCGATTCCACCCTTGGGCAACTGTCCGTGTGGAGTTTGACGTTCTCCCCATATCTGCGTGGGTTTCCTCCCACAGTCCAAGGACCTGCAGGCTAGGTGGATTGGCCATGCTAAATTACCCCATAGTGTTCAGAGATGTGTAGATGAGCTAGGTTATACGGGGATGAATCTGGGTGGGATGCTATGAGGGTTGGTGTGGATGTGTTGGGCTGAACAGCCTGTTTCCACACTGTAGCGACCCCATCTGTCTGTCTATCTGTCTATCTATCTTTCTACATTCTGTCCATAAAAAAGATCCCGAGCTTCCAGTTGACTGCCATTTCAACACACAACCATGTTCCCTGGCCAATATCTCTGACTCAGGCTTGCTGTCCTGCTCCAGTGAAGCTCAGCACAAGCTGGAAGAACAGCACCTCATTTTCCACTTGGGTACCCTACAGCCTTCAGGACTCGATAGTGAGTTCAGTAATTTTAGAGTCTGAACACCTTCTTCAATGTCCTTTACTCACCCCAACACCCCAGGCCCTGTCATGATATCGGCTGCTTTCACAGCCAACCCATTTTCATTTACTTATGGTCCCCATCAGCTGCTTTCCCTTTCTCTCCAGCTCACCTTATCCATCCCTTTATTTGCCCAAAAAGTCTTTCTGCCTTTGGGCTCCACCTATTCTTTCACTCCTTTACCCCCTCCCCCCTGTTCTCAGCATATATTTTCCTAGCTGCTCATAGTTGTGATGAAGGGTCACTGGACCCAAGACATTAACTCTGCTTCCTCTCCACAGATGCTGCCAAATCTGCTGAGTTTCTCCAGAAATTTCATTTTTGTTTTGGATTTCCAGCATCCATAGTTGTTTGTATTATTCCTAATTTTCTTTTCATGTTTCCACCTGCACTTTATATATTGGTCTAGGGGCTCTGCCATCTTGAACCCTAAGTATCTGCCATAAGTTTTTCTTTTTCTTCTTAATCCTCACCTTCATATCTCTTGACATCCTGGGTTTTCCATTATTGGTCCCACCCTTTGTCTTTACATTTACCCTGCACTCTTGCTATTTCCTCCTCAATTGCTACCCACTGCTTTTACACAGTTTTATCTACAAGTCCACTTATCCACTTTATCTCCAGTCCACTTACACCAAAGATCCTAGAGTTTGAGCACTATCAAAATTAATAGCAATCCATGTGCTTATACTAATCCCCCAACCATTGAGCTCCAGGGTGCCACCTGTTCAACCCTGAGCTTGGGATTTCATCTTATACCCAGTCAATCACCAATATTTGCTTCCTTCCATCCTGTATTTCATTCTTTGCCTTCATCATTCCCTCAACATCTTGAGTCCCACTCCAGGGCTTAAATATAAAAACCATGATGTGGCACTGAAGAGAATATTGCAAAGTCAGAGATACCATCTTACAGATGATTCATGTAACTGAGGTCTACCACACTCTGTCAGATCATTGTAAAAAAGTCCCATGGTACTACTTCAAAGGAGAACATGGATGTTATTACTAACATCATGGCTAATATTTCCCTGTGAATCAAAATTACAATAAACAGATTGCTTGGTCATTATCACGTTGTTGTTTTGGAGTTGCTAAGCTCAAATTAGCTGCCACATTTCCTACATTACAACAGTGACTACACTTCAAAAAATACTTAATTGGTAACAAAGTACCTTGAAGAAAACATGAGAGATGAAAGTGCTATACAAATGCATATCTTTCTTTCTTTCATCACATCAAACTATCCAAATCCCTTAGACTAGATGTAAACCATGGTACTCATTATTCCATTCATATATTATCCAAAGTCCTTAGATTGTACCATGCAACCAAGGATCCATTGTTCCACATATAAATCAATCAAAATCTTCAATCAGAATTCAGCTTATGATGTATTCTTGTTGTTTTTCATTTCTACATATATGACATGGGGATGTAATTTATCAATAAAAATACTTATGCATTTGAAATTATGCAATGATCTGGAGAGCAGGAGAGGGGAAAGGCTGCTGTAGGGTTGATAGGCATACATTTCCTGTGCTTTTCTGCTGTACTGATGATTATCTGCAATCCAGTCCTTACTGTGATGTGAAATCTGTCCTCACAAATGGATCCTGGAAGTATATAATGGATGCTACTTTGTAGCTGTCGCCTTGGAAACACTTTGATATCTAAGCAAATATCACTAATGGAATATGCATGTTGCTTTCATTAGCCCATTGATACTTTCCTATTAACCCAGACTTCTGACACTGCACGGTTTAAGAATTATGTACTAACTGTTCAAAAAATGTCAGGGTTTTTTTTTTGCATTTTTTTAGTCATGAAAGATGAGCCTTTAGAATTGTCTTTCTCTAATATCCTCTTCCCCTGTTCTGAAAACATTGGGATATAAGATTTTTTTTTCCTTTATTCATTCATGGGATGAGGGTGTCACTGGCCAGGCAGCATTTATGGCCCATCCCTAATTGCCCAGAGGGCAGTTAAGAGTCAACCACATTGCTGTGAGTTTGGAGTCACATTTCAGCCAGACCAGGTAAGGATATCAGTTTCCTTCCCTAAAGAACATTAGTGAACCAAATGGGTTTTTCCGACAATCAGCAATGGATTCATGTTCATCATTAGATTCTTAATTCCAGATATTTATTGAATTCAAATTTCACCATCTGCTGTGGCGGATTCGAACCCAGGTCCCCAGGATATTAGCTGGGTCTCTGGATTAACAGTCCCGTAATAATACCACTTGGCCATTGCCTCCCCTACAAGATCTGCAAAGACTAACTGCTCTCTGGCATTATGTGCCTCCACTCATCAGTTGTTGGTGGGGTCTGTTTGAAATTTGTGCATGTATTATGCTTTAGCTGTGGTTCAATAATTCTGCTCATTTCCTTTCTTGGGCTTCCCTGTGTTCTGCTCTAACATTCTCATCCTTTGAGAGTAGCATGGTGGGTCAATGGTTAGCACTGCTGCCTCACTGTGCCAGGGACCCATGTTTGATTCCTGCCTTGGGCAACTATCTGTGTAGAGTTTGCATTTTCTCCCCATGTGAAATAGCTGCACAGAGACTGGTATGTGCACTGTGCAAGGATTCTGACCAGCCAGCTCAGAGCAAGTCCCTACAATGAGGAGATTCTCTGAATCTTCCATTTATATTGGTCAGCCAGGGCTTCCTGATTGGACCCAGTTAACAACCCTAATCAGGGATCTCATAGTCAGTGAAATCTAATCTAATTCATATCAACAAGCTATTCATTCATGAGGGCCTCACATTGAACACAATCCTCGCTTCCCCTCATGTCCAAGCACTGATCAAGAGCAGGAGTTCTGGTTGATTTTCTCATCCTAATAGAGGCATAGTGTTACCAATTGTGGTTCTCTGTACTATTAAACCAACAAAGATATGTAAATTGTTGCACCCTAACACCATCGCTGGGTTCTTAGCATCTCTAAAACCCTAATTCTTTCAATGAAAGAAAGAGGCATTATATAAAAGACAAAGAAAATTGTAGAATCATTGAATTGTGTGGAAGCAGGCTAAATACACTGGCAGGAGCGTCGTGTTTTCTTTCAGAAATTTCAAAGAAAAGAACCGTCTTTGCAGTTTAAGAAGTTTGCTTCCTCTGATTATTTCTAAAATGGTATATATGGAAAAGTTATCTCTACAAAACAAAACAGTTCACGTATATTGTAAGAACATTGCGAGAAATTTGCGGCACATCTGACATTGAGGAGTGCATGCTGCTTGTTTCGAGGAGAGAGTGGAAAATTTCTTCCCCTTTCACATAGGTGATCTTCACCTCAACAGCCACGGTCAGTAAAACTTCACTCATACAAACATGAATGTGTAATCGTAGTCTCACAGCTTTGAGTCCTTTTGTATAAGTGTTCAATTTCAGAAATTTGTTTAGCTGAAAAAGTCAAACTCTTGTTTTAAACAACCATTGAAAAACATCAAGTGTTGCTGCAATGTGTCAGTGTTCGTGCATGGAATGACTTGTGAACATTGAGAAATCTGCTATTTCACTGGCTAATTGAGTTACTATCCTGCTCATTCCATATATTAATTGCCATTCACTAATGGTTTCTGGTCCTGCAAAACACATCACCTGGTTAATGAAAAGATTGTCATTTATAAGCATATTTTACTGAAAATAAAGTGAATGCCTGGGTTCCTTGTTTGCTGATTCCATTATCACTACAAGTGTGTGTGTGTGGTGAACATGCATTTAACATTTAATACGTGAAGGACATTAGTTCAGGGAAATGGAACACTTCCATTTTAGACACCCTGTGTCAACATCAAACACTTTTTAAATTTGCTCCAGGATGGGTTAGGTGCAAAGTACAACACCTATACTTTCCTTCAAGTGCTGTCAGGTGAAGAATAGAATGTGTTAGATGCAGAGTGAAGCTTCTTCCATACTGTGCTTCAAGCATTAAAAAAGCCTTTTGCTTCACTAATGTGTTGTCCTTCCATTTTCCACATCATTCACATTGTCCAATTAATGCCAAATGGGTCACAGCTAAATTTGAGCTCACATTTTTACTAAGAATTTGTTCGCCACTGCCTCAACTTCAGTTTATATCAAATCCATGCATAGCAGAGGTGAGAGTTTCATCATATGATGTATTAAACATTTCAGAAGCAATACTAAATTGACTTGTTCGTAGAAAAAAAACACATTTAAAGAAAAATAATTTGAGATAATGAGTTTCTACAAAGAGATCCAATTTACTAAAAAACAAGCTTTCTTTTCTACAATTGTTGTTTGGTAATATAACTTTAAAAAATGTGTATTCTCCAGAAGGAAGTTTACTATTAGCTGAAGTACTGACCAGTTTATGATTTCCTTCTGGCACTTAGCCTAAGAGGTCAATCTTCTGATGTTAACTTTGAAAGGGAGGCATGGCTGACAGTTTTACCATTGACAGATTACAATGAAACCAATTCCTGTCCTCTTCTAACATGAAAATGTTACAGCAGTGATCACTGAATCTAATCAAAATGAAAGCCTAACCCAGTGTCCTTAAAGCTGATTGTACCACTTCTCCCTCTGACCTGACAAATTTACCAGATTGAATTTGGGAGTCAAAACCAAGATCTTCCTTTTCTAACAGGTAAGGTTCTGCAGTAATTAATTTTACAAACAAGGGTTACCTATCGGTTTCCTACTGGCTGAAGGTCAACCATAAATGAATCAAGGATTATGATGAAAAGGCAGCAAGATGGAGTTGAAAATTATTAGGTCAGTCATAATCTCATTGAATAACCGAAGAGACTTGATGGGCTGAATGGCCGACTTTTGCTCCTATGTCTGATGGTCTTAGAGTCTTTTTCCATTGTATAAACTACTGAAGACTTATTTCAGCACAAAGCCCAGTTATATCCCTGAAAATCACATTCTAGATGGAGGCTGCAACCATGTGAGCCAATCTGGATTCAGCACCTCATACGTCTTCAGTCAAGCTATCCTCATGAGGCTGAAAATTCTTCCATTGCACATTGTTCATTCAACACAGCTTTGAGGCCTGTGGAAAAATAATGAAGGAGAATATTAATAAAAGAGATAATATGGTCTCTCAGGTGTTCTGTATGAGAAGCGACTGGACAGGAATGTTTGATAAGGAGGAAATTTGTTGCTCCTGGCTAGGGGTATCACACGAAGAATTTGCAGATTCATGTTTTATTAACTAGAAGCTTGAATATTCTGAATATAAGGTAAGCAGCAGCAGACCTTAGCTTTCCTGATGTACATTTAAACTAAAATCAGGGCCCAGTAATGATAAACTAGACTAAAGCCATATGAAATTGAAATATAATTAAAAGGTTGGTCATTTCTCCAATGAGACCTGAGCAGATAGCAGAGGTGCTTGTTTAGTGCCAACTCTTTAAGAAACGCAAAGTTTGTTCGATTTACTTGATGCATGCCTTATTTTATCATATACCCAAAGTCCGAAGCACATAAGATCCTGATGGGATTTGACAAGGTGGATGGGAAGAGGTTCTTTCCCCCTGTGGGAGAATCAGGAACCAGAAGTTTAAAAATAAGGGGTCATCCATTTAAGCTGGAGATGAGGGGAATTACTTTTCTCAAAATGGGTAGTGTGTCTTTGGAAATCCCCTTCTTGAAAGGCAGTAGAAAAAGTCTTTGCTTATTTTTAAGGCAAAGGTAGATAGATTCTTGAAAAGCAAGGGAGTGAAAGGTTATTGGGGTTCAGCAGAAATGTGGAATAATCAGAATAATCATGATCTTATTCAGTGGTGGAGTTGGGTTGAAGGAGATGCGGAGATCCAAAATTAAAACACGAAAGTGCGGGACAGCCCGCATCTATGGAGAGAGGAACAAATTTAATGCTTCAAGTCCAATATGATGTGTGGGATTGGCCTGTGAAACCTGGGGTTCCCCATAAAATACACCCAGTATTAAACGTCAGCAACAACAAATAATTTTAGAAATGTGAGTAAAGAATTTAGCATTTACTGCATCTCACTTGGACCAATAGCAGTTCTTTGCATTTAACTAAGCTTATCCCATTTCCCCAAATCCTTTCATATTCTCTCTTCACAAAAGTTTGTCAATTCCTCTTTAAATGTTATTACAATAGTCACTTGTGATAAAGTATCCTCTGCTTCATGGAAATAGTTTATTAAATAAAATATGAGGTCATATTTTAAAGGAGAAATTGATTAGCCATGATCTCACTGAGTGGTAGAACTGGCTGAAGGTATTAAATGGGCAAACTCCTGTTGTGTTTCAAGGCTTTTGAAATTGAACAAAGCAGCTTGAGCTGAATATGTTTTCCCATGTTGACACAATGGACATGAAGCTGAAGATGTGCCTCAATGTCTGATACATACATGAGAAAAATATTCCAAAACTTTGAAAGCTCATCTGCACAACAAGTTATTGCAGAAATTACATGTTAGAAGGCGAAGCTGTAACCAATTATAAGTGTGTGCAAACTAAATAGAGATGACTTCAGATTAAAAACCAATAGAACTGCGGATGCTGTAAATCAGGAACAAAATCAAAGTTGCTGGAAAAGCTCAGCAGGTCTGGCAGCATCTGTGGAGGAGAAAACAGAGTTAACGTTTCGGGTCCAGTGACCCTTCCTCAGAACTCAAGATGACTTAAGATTAATTCAGTATATCTGGTCGGCATGGACGAGTTGGAATGAAAGGTCTGTTTTTGTGCTGTACATCTCTGTGACTCTATGAATTTCAGCTTAGTTAAAAACATGAAAACCTGATTAAAAATGAAAACAATAGATTAAAATCTCATTACAAACACTGAGATTTTTTTGAATTGCAAAGATTAAGCATAGAAGGGCAGAAAATGTTCTTTCTTAACTACCATTTGTGTTGAAGAGAGGGAACTTCCCACCACTCAGATAGATTAAGAGGCCAGGGCACAAGGAGGCAGTATTAGCATAGAAAAATGCTGGATAGAGGTTTGTTTAAAAGTGATGGAGAGAAATAATGAAGAAATGTAACTGCATTAGTAATTCTGAGGCCAGGATTAATGATCTGAGGACATGAGTTCAGCCCCACCACAAGAATTAAGGAATTTAAACTGAATAAACAAATCTTGACTAAAAGCACATAATAGTGACCTCGAAATTGTTGGATAGTTGTTTAAAAAGAACAAATAGAAGTATGGGACAGGAACAGGCCATTTGGCCCTCCAAGCCTGTGCCAATCATCATGCCTTGACTAAACTAAAAAATAAACCTTCTGCCCTTATTCAATCCAAACCCCTCTATTCCCTCCCTATTCATGTAACCATCCAGACACCTCTTAAATATCGCCAACACGCCTGCTTCCACCACCTCCTCCGGCAGTGCATTCCAGGCTCCGACCACCCTCTGCATGAAAAACCTTCCTTGCACAACTCCCTTAAACTGTTGACCTCTCACTTTGAACCTGTGCCCCCTTGTAAGTGAAACTTAAACCCTGGGAAAAAACCTTTGACTATCCACCCTATTCACACTTCTCATAATTTTGTGGACCTCTATCAGCCTCCTCTCAGACTCTGCCTTTCCAGTGAAAACAATTCTAGTCTTTTTAATCTTTCCTCATTGCCAATGCCCTCGAGACTGGGCAACATCCTGGTGAACCTTCTCTGTACTGTCTCCAAAGCTTTCTCATCCTTCTGGTAATGTGGCGACCCAAACAGCACACAATACTCCAAATACGGCCTAACAAGGGTGTTATATAGCTGCAAAATAGTTTGCCAGCTCTTGTACTCCATGCCCTGGCCGATGAAACCAAGCATGCCATATGCCTTCTTAATCACTTTGGCTACATGTGTTGCCACTTTTAGGGAACTGTGGACCTGCACGCCCAGATCCATTTGTATGTTAATGTTCTGCCATTTACAATAAAATTCACACCTAAATTTGATCCTCCAAAATGCATCACCTTGCATTTGTCTGGATTAAATTCCATCTGCCATTTCTGCGCCCAAGTCACCTATCTATCTATATCCTGTTGTATACTTTCATAATCATTAGCATTATCAGCAACTCCGCCAATCTTCATGTCATCTGCAAACTTAATAATCAGACCACCCACATTTTCCTCCAGATCATTTACATATACTACAAACAACAGAGGACCCAAGACTGATCCCTGTGGAACACCACTAGTTACCAGTCTCCATTCTGAAAAACACCCTTCCACTGCTACCCTCGGTGTTCTATGACCAAACCAGTTTTGTATTCATCCAGCCAGCCTACCCCAAATCCCATGTGATTTTAGTTTCTGAACCAATCTGCCATGTGGAACTTTATCAAATGCCTTATTAAAGTCCATATAAACTACTTGGCACAGCTCTTCCCTTATCAATTATCTTTGTCACCTCTTTAAAAAATTCAATCAGGTTGGTGAGACATGACCTTCCCCGTACGAAACCATGCTGCCTGTTGCCAACTAGTCCATTTCTTCCAAATGTGCATATATCCTGTCCCTCAGTATCTTCTCCAAGAGCTTCCCCACCACAGATGTCAGCCTCACCGGCCTATAATTTCCTGGATTATCCCTGCTTCCTTTCTAAAACAAGGGAACATAGAATAGCCAATGTTGTTCCTTTGTTTAAGAAAGGTGGCAAGGATAATCCAGCTAATTACAGGCCAGTGAGCCTTAAGTCAGTGGTAGGGAAATTATTGGAGAGGATTCTTCGAGACAGGATTTACTCCCACCTGGAAATCACTGGGTGTGTTAGCAAGAGGGAACATGGTTTTGCGAAGGGGAGGTCATGTCTCACTAACTTGGTTGAGTTTTTTGAGGAAGTGATGAAGAGGGGCGGCACAGTGGCTCAGTGGTTAGCACAGTGGATAGAACAGGTTCAATTCCACCCTTGGGTGACTGTCTGTGTGGTGTTTGCACGTTCTCCCCGTGTCTGTGCGGGTTTCCTCCAGGTGCTCTGGTTTCTTCCCACAGTCCAAAGATGTGCAGGCTAGGTGGATTGGCCATGCTAAATTACCCATATTGTTGAGGGATGTATAGATTAGGTGGGTTATAGGGGGATAGGTCTGGGTGGGATGCTCTGAGAGTCGGTGTGGACTTGTTGGGCTGAAGGGCCTGTTTCCACACTGTAGGGATTCTATGATCTATGAGTGTAGGGCAGTGGATGTTGTCTACATGAACTTCAATAAGCCCTTTGACAAGGTCCCTCATGGCAGGCTAATACAGAAGGTAAGGTTGCACAAGGTCAGAGGTGAGCTTGAAAAATGGATAAAAAGAAACTGGCTCAGTCAAAGAAGACAGAGGGGAGCAGTGGAAGGGTGTGTTTCTGAATAGAGGGCTGTGACTAGTGGCGTTCCTCAGGGATCAGTGTTGGGACCTTTGCTGTTTGTAATATATATAAATGATTTGGAAGAGAATGTAACTGGTATGATTAGTAAGTTTGCTGATGACACAAAGATTGGTGGAAATGCGGATAGCGATGAGGACCGTCGCAGGATATAGATAGGTTGGTGACTTGGGCAGAGAGATGGCAGATGGAGTTTAATCTGGAAAAATGTGAGGTGATGCATTTTGGAAGGTCTAATCCAGATGGAAAATATACAGTAAATGGCAGAACTCTTAAGGGTCTGATAGGCAGAGGGATCTGGGTGTACAGGTACACAGGTCACAGAAGGTAGTCAACAAGGCATATGACATGCTTGCCTTCATCGTCCAGGGCATTGAGTTTAAAAATTGGCAGGTAATGCTGCAGCTTTATAAAACCTTAGTTAGGCCGCATTTGGAATATTGTGTTCAATTCTGGTTGCCACACTACCAGAAGGATGTGATGGCTTTGGAGAGGGTACAGAAAAGATTTACCAGGATGTTGCCTGCTATGGAGGGCATTAACTATGAGGAGAGGTTGGAGAAACCTGGGTTGTTCTCACTGGAACGACAGAGGTTGAGGAGGGACCTGATAGAGGTCTGCAAGATTATAAAGGGCATGGACAGACTGGACAGTCAGAAGCTTTTTCCCAGGGTGGAAGAATCAGTTACCAGGGGCCATGAGTTTAAGGTGCGA